GAACGGTTGCCGTCGCTCCGGTGCCGCGGCGCCACTCGTAGAAGATGATGTATCGAACATGGTCTCGTGGAATTGACATCGTGATTTAAGCTAAAGGAGGAAGCGCGCCTATATATACCCATTACGGAGAAGGTTCTAGAATGTTCTACCACTACCACATGGTAGATCATTGGTATCGATCAAGAATCGAAAGTTCTGGAACTTTCAAAAACCCTACCAAAACTTTTTGATCAACCTAATAATTCAAAGGCTCTGAAGGAGTCAACAGGTTATATCCTCGCACCTTAGAGATCATTAAATCACTGGCGCGCAGTACAGTAATATCACAATCCCACAGCAAACGCGCAGTAGAGAACAATAAAGAGTGAGAGGGAGCAGACAAGTAACGGCTATGGTTGGGCGTGTGGCTGGCCGTGCGGCTATTCGGTTGGAGTCGCGAGATGGCACCCGGGTATCACTACCTTCCAGCCCGTTCCCGTCCAGTTTTGAGCGGAAAAAGTGGCACGCCACTGCAACTGCGGACCCGCTTACCTCGCATGTGGGTAATACAGTAGCTGATGAGAACCTTGAAAGATTAATATATACCTAGATAAATATATCGTAGAAGAGTCGCTCTTCCTCAAAATCGCATAATCCTCGAGTTCATTGTGAGGGAGATCGACAACCCACAACCCATTTGCAGTTGGACGAGCTACCTTGTCCTTTACCATATCAGCTACCAAACGACGAGCGGCTTTCACATAAGAAGATTCATACTGCCACCTGGAAGTGCCACCGCCATGGAATGTACCTTCTCGGAATGATTATCGGAGGGACCGTCGCAGAAAATACTGATCGGCATACCGATCAAAATGAATATTTAACATGGAATAGAACTGGTTCAGATGTCGTTCGGAAAGCTCTCGAATATCTCGCCACAGCTGCATTGTTGGAGAAGACAAGTCTTCACTAGAACAGCTTAGTTTTTACACCTCAAATGAGTAGAGAGAGATGAAAACACCTACGCCATTATACATTTCTCCATTTCTGCATACGTTTCACGAACATTTTCCCGGAAATTCTCGTCCACTTTTCCTTTTTTGTTTGCTACAACGTAGCAGTCTGTCAAGGCACGAATCTTGTCAACATCACTACATGAGTTCCAGAAGGAATCAGAAGGCCGCACCTGAAAAAGTTGAGTGAGGCAATTGAAAGCGCAATCTTCCACTACACTTTGCATGTCTGGACGAATCATGCATCATGGGGTTGAAGGGGATGTTCCTCTGACCATCGTTCCTTGCTGTCACTACTCACATTACGTTGAGATGCTAATGAGATACCAAAGGAAACACAGCAGAAATTATTGTGAACGAAATCCGCGCTCAGAAGTCAATCAAAACAGTAATAATATGACTACGGCACTCCTTACGTTTGGCATCCCTGTAGGTCGTATTTCGCGGCTGGAGGAAGGGTTTCGTAATCCTTCGAGAAAAAATGTTCCCAGGAATTGATTCTCCTCATTGTTCTTCTGTTTCAGGTGTCACTGCGTCCCTCTCCCCTTGCGCTCGACGGCGGACATTTTTTGGGAAAAAAGGCAAACAACTGCGGCGAAGAGGTAGGGTGTGGGAGGGTTTATAATAGGATGCGGAAAGGGGGGTCTACCAGAGGAGCAATCTTTGAGGGGGCATACTTTGCGAATATCCTCCCTACCTGCAGAACGCGCCCTGAATATGACTTTGAGGGCTTTGGTGGCATTTTTTTGAGCTAGCAGCAACGATACGAACAATATGAGACACTGTGAGACGACACCACTTTCATTTTTAGTCAATTCGCACGGAGCGGTCAAACCAATGCAATCAGGACATTCCCTGTCAAGCCAAAGGCACCTTCGCCTAAGAAACGCATCAAAGTGTTCATCGAGCATCAATGGTATTTGAGGCCTATCGTCTGATATGGAGGACTCACGTAACTACACTAAACATGTTTCCTGATACACCAGAATATCTTAAACCGAGAACTCGGACCATCCTTTCTTATGTTAAGTTGTACGTCTTTGAGCTGCTCGCTTTCTCTGAATGGACCGCACGCCTGAGACTCGCCCTTCCCGTCAAGGGATGTGTCAAAGCGGTGAGGCGATCAAACATGGGCTGATACAGATACTTCAAATTTGGGTGATTCAACCAGTGTTGTAGGTTAAGGTAAAAGGTATTCGTTGGGAAGTTTCCAATGCGAACATACTGTAAGAAGTTCCTTACAGTCAGTTCGTGAGATGTGAAGGCTAACTTTCGGAAAAGTTGCAAACGTTGCCAGCTAAGTACGTAAGGGTGTACTTCAATAGTCCCGATCGGCGCCACGCCGCGGCGAAAGAGGCCTAACTACGAAAGAAGTGGGCGCCGAATTCGACGAAGGTACGCAATGAGCCGATGACAGTCGCTGTCAGGTGCAAGTCAGCGTAGCAGTCTCATCATTACGGAGTATCGGAAGCGCACAGCCGCGCTGCACTCTCTGAACGCTGACAGCGCGTGCGCAGCCGGGACGGTGATAAGCTGATTTGTATGGGATTTGGCATGCAATTCCCTAGTTTTCCAGCTCTTCAAGCTTCTAAAGTGGAAGGTGAGTCATTCTGAAAAATTTTGAATTGTACTGGCTCTGATTTCCTTTATTTTTATGTCGATTATTACGCTATTTTCCTTGCAGTTTGCCTATTTCAGAATATTTATGTCGAATGGTTCACATTTCAGGTCATTCCATAGTCGTAACAATTTAAAATTGTTCAGACAATATCATCACTTCACATTCTTTGAAGGCTTGTGAAGAGTTGAAAAAGTGGAAATTCGCAGCCGTCCATGGAGCCGCCGTCACCGAGGCGCAGCCGCTGTCGCGTCACATTGCAGCGCGGCTGTTCCGCCCCAGACAGTCCGATAATGCATAAGGACTGTAGCTAGAAATAGCTCAGTTCGCTCGTATTGAAACACCACAACCCAGTATAAGCTCACCTGCGGCCAATATGTAGCAATCATCGCAAACTGTGTCCCCCAGTCACCGAGATAATTCACTGTGGTCACATCATTACCAATAGCTCCGATGAACTGAAATAGAAGATCCGACCTGTCTTAAAAAGAAAAATAAGCCCTTTACTGAATAACATGGAGCAAAGCTAAGTCTCCTGCTGATAAAAGCTTCGAGAAAAATGCAAGTTCCAAAGCAACAAAGGCGATTAAGCCAGTCCAATACAGGAGGAAATTGTCAAGCAATGGTTCCATTAAGAATCTCGGATAACTTGAACACCCTCGTGGATCTGGTCGCTTGTCCAATGTGTGAGGTGGATGGGTCGCACAATTGCGTGTAGTGTGCGGCCTTCCGCTTCAAAGTACATCGAAAAAGGGGCTGAATGTAGGGTAGTTCCCAGCCCTTTTCAGTGCACTTGCACCCGGTCGCCTCCCAAATTTCGCCGGCTGGAGTCTTTCAGGGCACTTGTCAACCGCGGAGCCTCTCCTCTCTTTCCTTTTTCTTCCTCCTCCTTCTTTTCCTTCCTTCCTTCTCTGATCCCTCCTCCTTTACCTTCTCCCTTCAACTACTGGACTGGTAGATGCCTCGAAAAAATAACCCTGGACCCTCGCAGCGAGAGAACGTTCGGTTGACAACAGTCTTGTAACCGGCTAGAACCACCTCAACTTCTTTTCTCTACATCTAACTTCACCAAATTTTTGTTCTTCTTTATTAGAGTACTCCGTTAGCGCTGCTTGTCTGGATCCTCTCAACTCTATTTGTTCTCTACCGCTGTGTGTGTTTCGCTGCGGAACCTTGGTGTCGACGCAAGTACTGCACCTTGAGGATAGCGCTGACGGAGTCTGCGGGAGAAGGCTTCCGGGAATCGCTGCCCTTCAACTCAGTTCCCGTGCTTTTTAAGTGAAGAGACTGACACACTACTGCAGCTGAGGACCCATTCACCTCACATATGGAAACGACCCTCTTCGGAGGTCAGGGTACAGTTCGTCTCTGATCCTTGAATCTTTTAGGTTATGCATTTGATGACGCGTCTGGCTGCCACAGGAGCACGACGCAGTGAATTGATTCAAAAAATAAATCCTCGGAATAGATGACTCACCTTATCAATGTATCTACCAATTAATGTTGAACGAAGATTTCCTATATGAAACTGCTTTGCAATATTTGGACTAGAATAATCTATGACAAGTTTTTTACATTGACGACTGCTCGCTCGATCTGCCAACAAAGTATATTGACGCTGTGGCGAAAGCAATGGTCAAGCCGACAAAGTAACAGAATGAAACCTACCATTAAGTACAGCTTTAAGTGCTCCAGAGGTCCGTAACTGCCGTAAGTAGCTTGTGTTCATCTATAAGTGGACGAATGATTCCCAGTAATACCAGTAATGCTCAAAATTCGAGGTCAGTTGAAGTAAATGGATAAGGAAGAGAGAACGGGGAACACGGAAGAAGCGGAGAGTGCGACTTTTAAGTCCAAGGAACGGAAATGAGGTGAGCAAAAAACACTGCAGCGGATCGCAGCAGTGGATGGCACACTTTGAAAACATCAAACCTCATCAGCAATCTAATAGTGGCAAATCGTATAAGTGCTTTGTACGCCCGTGCCCGATGTAGTGGCAGTTACACGGGCGTATCATAACTCTCTGCATTTTGCATATCTAGAACAGGCAGTCCACTGGAGATGTCATCAGTAGTGGAAAACTCCGCACCACGAATGACGTTCATATTCGGTCTTCCTCGCTGCGGACGCTGAAGTCGGAGGGGAAGGGGGAAGAACAAGAATGGCTTTCGCGCAGCAATAAATCGTTCTCCACCAACTGTGGAAGCTGTCAGGCGACCACACTTGGTGCAGACAACCTGTCAACGAGTCCCAGCGTCTGCAGCGAACAAAGTTCTACACATTTTGACTTCATATATTTACCTTAACCTTATGTATATTACCTTATATTTTCTTACTAATATGGTTTGATTTCTCCACCATTTCAAAATGTGTCACCCTCGGAAAGTGGAGTATGTATTCGTTGAAACTAATGACACAAGATGTATGAGGCTAGGGCTCGAGCTGCTTAACCAGGCGAGTAGAACCGAGGCAAATTGGAATGAGAGAAGAAAGCAATTCACTCAGTTTTGCTTCAAGCTTCGAATGCTATCTACTGGTGTTCCTCTGCACTCCGGAACTACCGAATGTGTCATAAACCTTTTTGGCAGCCGAATGATCTCCTTCTGGCTGAGATAAGGAGTGTGGCAACGACAGAATATTTGTCATATAGGAGCGGAGCCATAGTTACAGTCAGTGTCTACAGAGGGAGCAACATTGTTCTGCTAAAACAGTTAGTTAGACAACGTCGGCTTCAAGACGGAGCTAAAGTTCTTGCAAAATAGTATCCCTGTTCTCCTTTTTGCAGGACCCGAACGCAAACTCTAAAGCAATATAGTTGCAAAAAGCATTCTGAGCACCACAATTTCCTTATCAAAGTGGCGAAAGCTTAAAGACAAATTCCCACGATTGTGTACAGTGGATAATGACGCTCATTTTCAAACCTGAAGTCTCTAACTCTCCAGGGAAGAAAAACTCGGAAAAAACCGTGGAGAACACCATAATTACCACCCCCCCCCCTGACAGCCTCTCTGAACGTATTCGGACTGACTTCGTTTAACAGCATCTCAAGCTATATTTCCATCTCTAGTCACGATTGATATTCTCAGCGGATTCAGTACTATCACATTAAAAACAACAAAAAAATAAAACGGAGACGTTGGTGTAAAGTGATTTTGTGATGAAAATAGCTTTGAGCGACGGATAACTGGGAAGGTCAGAGCGCCACTTCGAGGACACAGGCCTCATCACTAACTGTGAGCCGCGAAAGTGGGGTAATCCTATAACTGAGCCGCTTGTACACAAAGAAACGCCTACAAGTTGCTGGAGCACGGGGACTGTCTTTAACACGTTCCAGAACCGCGTGACACACATCGTGTGTCATACATTTTTCTCCCTGCGCCGTTTCTTATGGTCTTTGGCGTCGTGTCCAAGGTCCATAGTTACCAGGACACGTTTTTAGGCACAGAATACACATATCTCATAGGAAAGTGAAAGAAACAGATGTAATTACTGATTACCGATTCGAAATGTGACGAAATGATGCGGAGATCCTAGCGCAACGCGGCCCGGAATGTGTTAAAGAAAAACCCCGTGCTTGTGTACTGTGGATAACGGCGTTCGGTAATGAACCCACAGTCGCTAAAGGACTCGCTGGGGGAAGAAAAAAAAGCAAAAAAATCATGGAGAGCCATGAGTCCCTAGGGAGTGGGGATCTGCTTGTTTTATCCCAGCAAAAACGATATCCTGTAGATTCTGGTTCATTAATGGTTTTTTTCGCGTCATCCAATGCCGATACCATCTAACTGTGAGGAAAAAAAACAGAAAGCACGGGGTAAATTTGCCTCGCGGCAAAAGTTGCCCTGGCCGTGGGCGGGCAACTAAGAAGGAGTCAGAATTGCCATTTTTGAAGGCCATAGCACCTTTTTACTTATTGTGAAGCCGCGAAAGCGGGAGAATCTTGAATACTGGGCTTTACAAAGGACGCCTACGAACTGCTCAAGCGCGGGGACTGTCTTTCAGCGGTACAACTGCTTTGGGATGGCATCTTAGGAAAAGATACGTATGTCAGAGACTTCCTGCTTTGATCCCAAAACATGACCGCAATAAAATTGTTCAACTTAAAGTGCCTGTAATACCAAGCTTACCATTGTCTAGGCTCCTCCCAGATTTAATCTTGCGAACAGAAATCTTGTCGCTCCGTGAAGTGAGACAAGCCTTACTCATCCCCCCTGCTCACTTGACTTCTCATCACTCTCCGAAATGTAATGCTGGGGCCGAAAATGCTCAATTATGAGCATCTGAGCATCCGGTTCCAGGAACGGATGGATTGGCACTCGGAGCCTGCAGCACATCTAGAGCGATCGTGGCTCACTAAAACTTCTTTAGCACAGGAAGCATTAATCTATGGCATACTCCAGCATCA